AATGTCCTCTATCAGAGACTGAGACCTCACAGTCCAAGAAAGCCAACTTGCCATTTTTTACATCTTCTCGTGTGAACTTGATGTATTTATCCACAGAGTTGATGTGGTCAGTAAAATGTTGGACTTCCTGAGATTTAATTTTAACCCAGGTGTCGTCAACATACCTGAACCAATGACTTGGTGGTGTCCCTGAAAAGGACGTCAAGGCTCTCTTTTCTACCTCCTCCATGTACAGGTTGGCAACAATAGGAGAAACTGGAGACCCCATAGCACACCCATGTTTCTGCCTATAATATTGCTCCCCATATGTGAAGTAGGTTGACTGCAGGCACAGTTTCAAGAGTGTGTTCTGTGTTCCAAAGGAGAAAATTAAGGGTCATCCAGGTTTTTATGTGTTTAAGACATGCTTGTAGTCTAAGTAGCTGATTGGATTCATTGGGTTTAATGGACAAATACAATTGCGTGTCATCAGCATAACAATGGAAATTTACCCCATGCTGTTTAATAACTTTACCTAATGGAAGCATATATAAAGTCAAGAGTACATTGGTCTTGTTATGGCTTCAACTTCTGGGTTTACGCCCAATTTCTTTTAAACATACAGTCTTTGGGAATAACACAAGTAATGGTTAATGGACTGTACTTAAATAGTGTCTTTCTATCTTGTCAAGGTAGTCAAAGCTCTTTACAACACAATGTGTGCCCTCACTTACCCATTCATACAGCACTCTACTATATCTATACAAAGAATTTTCAGTGCTTTATCACATTCATGCACAGATGGGACACATCGGAAGCAATGAGGGGTTCAGTGTCTTACCCAGCAACACTTAAACATGTGACTGCTGGTGGAGTCTAACCCCCCAAACTCTTGAATTGGAGGATGACTGCTCTAACCATTCAGCCACAGCCGGCCCTAAATTCAGGTTAGCTTCTATTTTGAAAGCACCTCACAAGAGTTACTACGGTAATACTTTGTGTTTTCACAAATGATGGATCCTCAGGGCCAGCAAAGCCTTCTCTGTTGGCCTAAACACAATCTGAATTACTAACTTAAGTTTTAGTATAATTTTTTCTGTTAATATTATTCCAAGTTATCTGTTCTCTTCATTTCATAGCTTTTCTTCTGATTGTGCAGCTTCCAGAAGCATATCTTTATATAGAGCTTTTATACAATCATATTTTGACTATCATGTGTTGCTAGGGTCAACTGCCTCGAAGCTTTCAGAATCAACAGTGCAGACACCTGCTGCATGAAATAAATGACAACAAAACTGTTGCTTTGACCAATAAGATGTTGAGTTGACGACACTATGGCCATCTAGCAAGCGTTCAACAACGTCAGCATTTTCACATTATTTGATCTCATCTCTTGCTGCAGCTCCATTGGTCCCATCTCTTGCTGCAGCTCACCTGGTCTCATCTCTTGATGCAGCTCCATTGGTCCCATCTCTTGCTGCAGCTCACCTGGTCTCATCTCTCAATGTACCTCTCTTGGCCTCATCTCTTGATGCAGCTCCCCACGTCACATCTCTCACTGCAGTTCCCCTGGAACCATCTCTCAATGCAACATCCTCGTCTGCTGCAGTCCCCTTGTCTGACTCGGCAGCTGCAACCCCCTTGTCTGACTCGCTTGCTGCAGTCCCCATCTTGGGTTCCTCGCTGGTTCCTCACCATCTGCTGCAGCCCTCATCTCTGGTTCCTCACCATCTTCTGCACCCCCCCCCCCCCCCCATTTCTGGTTTCTTGCCATCTGCTGCAGCCCACATCTCTGGTTTCTTGCCGTCTGCTGCAGCCCTCATCTCTGGTTCCTCACCATCTTCTGCACCCCCCATAGGCCCTTTTCACATGACGTCAGACAACTTCCTTTTTGACTCGATGCTGTGGATCAGTACTTCCGGGTCTATTCTCCCTCGGGAGACCTGTCTGGAAAC